AAAAAAAAAAGTCCACCGGGTTTAGGTGTATCGTCATTGAATATTCTGCGATTAGGTGTACTATTCAAATATAGAATTATTTTAATCCAAATCCTGTAACGCGGAGGGAGGTTTGCATAATGATAATTAACATTATTACTATTATTATTGTTGTTGTTATTTTACATTAATTATTTCCCATTTTCAAGTCAATTTGTGCGCGTCTTGAGATTAAGGTGTAACATTGATCATTATATGGGAAACAACGAATGTGACTATAAATTTGTTTGTAAGTGTATTGTTGGATAATTGAATAATTAATTCTTGGACTTTTTGCGAGAGAAAGTTGTCGAATTTAGAAGTGTGGAGTCAAATAAAGATGATTTTCTAAGTTACTATTACGATTTTGAAATAATGTATACGCGTGACTAGCGATCATATCTTTTAAATGGAATCAATCATTAACTTAAAGACTGTAAGTGCTTCATAAATTGAAAATTGCTGTAGGATGTGTGACGGAATTGATATTGATGGCTGATGAGTTCTCTAGAAAGTCAAGCAAGAGGGTTGCACCATAAATTTTCAACATGTTTGTTTCAATGTGAACAGATGAAATTATTAGAGTTCATATTAATTTGAAGTGATTATGCCCATACGGTGGAGTGTGTTAATTATTTGTTTTGGGAATTGAGATTGTCAAAGTTTTGTGAAAAAGCTTGCATTTTTTTTCTTTCAAGTATCCTGATTAAAAAAACTGCTTAAGAGATGACGAGGAATTTGGTTGTTTCCGACAAGGAGATATTGTTGAAATTGTTGGCTAAAAAATTTAAAATTAAGAGAACTTCAATTGCACAGAAGAAAAGGTTACAATCTATATAGGGAATATTTCGATTCGTAAAATTTCATTTATAGTTTGTTTGTCTTCTATTACGGGAGAAATTATAGAGTTTTGAATAGTATTTTTCGCAGAATGTGTGATTAAAATATAAAGAAACTTTATTAATTTGTGTGTAAAATATTTTATTAAAGGTTGAACCCCAATTTTAAGGGTCCCACCGTCCCGCCCCTAGAGTTTTGTGAGGAAGGTAAATCGAGAGATGTGTCTCAATAGGTCAGGAAACAAGAACTATCTGTACACTGCGCCTACAAGAAGTCCAATTTCATGTTTCAGGAACCGAACTCCCACACTGCGACTACCAGCAAAGCGTGAGATAACCTCACTCGTATTCTTTGCACCACTAGGCTATGTCCCGAAGGGTTGTAAAATATTTTATTATGTGAATATATGGTGAAGAATGTTACTATAGCAAACAATTTGATTTGTTAAAAGACGAGAAACGGGGTTTATTATTATCTTTTTATCTAATATTTTTCTTTGAACAATAAAAATCAATAAACAAATAAATGAAATTTGTCTTAATTCCTAATCATTTAAATATGTCGCAAGGTAATGTGTGAAAACAATGCTTGATTGAATGGACCATACCAATTGCGTATCTATTTCCTTTTCTTGGGGGGAGAAAACGAGGCTTCAAAAATTCTTAATATATTATGTTAGATAGATACCGAAATTAGACAGTAATAAAACTGTATATTTTAGAGGTAATATAAAATAAAATAATAAATTAATGAGATAGTGGGCCCGCTGATGTTTGACGCCGTTAATTTCTCCAGGGGATCGCCCAATCATCAACAATTGTTTGTTCGAGTTGCCTTCTGACACGTGTTCCCACATCATTCACACGCCATCTATTTTGTCGTATTATACCTGGTTTTCTTTTTCGATTCACGACTAAACATGTTCATCAGTTGAATTTGAATATTAAGCGACTGAAATTAATAGTTCTACTCTTACTACCAAACAAAAATTATTTAAGGAAAATAACAATGGTTGAACCACAACTTTGAGAGCGCCCATCGTCCCGTTCCTAAAATTTTGTGAAGGAGGTAAATCGCGGGATATGCCCCAACAGGCCAGAGAATAATTTTTATTTTTTATTTTTAAGGAAAACAGCAGCCTAAAATTTTTATCTGCCTTTTGTTTTCTCTGATTTTGTCAGCGTGTCAATTTTTATTTTTTTTATTTTTATTTTTGATTGTTAACTATTTTTATATGATCCATCGACTTTTAAAATCTACTTGCCGACT